GCCGCTGTGCTTGGTGCGCGGAGTCCCGGCGCTGCTCTACACCTTGCGGTCCAGCTGCCTGGCCGGGAGGCACAAGGGCAACGTCAGGTACACCGCCCGGGACTCCTCTCCCCTCTGGCGGGAGGGCACTGAGCCTCTCCGAGCCTCGGTTTGTGCCTCTGTAGAATGGGTCTGCGGAGAACCCGTTGGCCCGGGCGCCCCGCCGGTTCCCTCCAAGCGCGCCCGCACCGCCTGGTGCCTGCGACACCTCTCTCTGAGCTGGGACCCCCCTCTCTGAGCTGGGACCCCCCTCTCTGAGCTGGGACCCCCTCCCTAGAGGGGCAGCACCTCTCCTGGCCGCTGTAGGAAGACTTGGTCCCAGAGTCTTGAAAGCCGTGGGGCGGGGCTTTCCGGCTTCCCGCCCTGGCCCCGCCCTCGGCGGAAATTGGGGACACCCTAGGGTCCCTGTGGGCGCCTGGGGGCTGCCACAGACAGAATTTGCATGCCTGAGGCCCAGGCCCTCTCCCTCACCTCCATTGCTCAAGGAGGTAAAGAGCCTGGGGAGGTCCGGAGGCCCCACTAAACGCGGGGCAGGCGCTTAGGGGTCACCGGCCCTCTGCCGCCCTGCCATCCCCGCCCGTCCATGGCCCAGCAGTCCGAGGACCAGGCTCCTGTGCCTGTTTAGTTTCCCAGGTGGCAAGTGTGACCCGGCTGACCAGGATGTGGTGCACACGGCCCTGAGGGAGACCCGGGAGGAGCTGGGCCTGGCTGTGCCCGAGGACCATGTGTGGGGTGTCCTGCAGCCCGTATATGACCAGGTGAGCCCACCAGGCTCTGAGGCCACAGCCATCCTTCACCCCATTCACCCGCTCTCCTGCCCTGGGCTAGGCACCGGGTCCCCAGGGACAAGGAGCTGGTCATGGACTCCCGCAGGTGCAGAATGCAGTGAGCACCAGGCACCTGCCTGTCCCTCCTCTTCCATCCGCTGCCACCCATCAAGGCCGGGTCAGGGGCATTTTTATCCTCTTCTCACAGGGATACTGAGGCTCAGGTTCCGGTGGAAGTGGCTCTGGGGTGAGCCAGCTCTGCTCAGTTTGGTGGATGAGGGTTGGGGAAGGCCCACAGGGGAGGAAGGGATTGAATGACAAGCGGCAGGTTTCAGGGTAGTAAAAGTAAGGGAAGGTTGTTCTAAGTGGAGGGAACAGTCTTCGAAGGCCCAGAGGCCTGGATGGGGAACCTGAGTCGGGCAGCCTGGCTGGAGTGAGCCCCACGCAGGACAGGGGCCAGATGGACCTGGCCTTGACTGCTAACGGCCTCTGGATGGCAAGGGTGGGGTCTCCCTGTCAGCCTCCCTTCTCCAGCCCCAAAGGCCGAACAGTCTTCGAAGGCCCAGAGGCCTGGATGGGGAACCTGAGTCGGGCAGCCTGGCTGGAGTGAGCCCCACGCAGGACAGGGGCCAGATGGACCTGGCCTTGACTGCTAACGGCCTCTGGATGGCAAGGGTGGGGTCTCCCTGTCAGCCTCCCTTCTCCAGCCCCAAAGGCCTGCCAAGGCCATGCCTCCCTTCACTGCCTGCCTCCCTGGCCCAGGCAAAGAACACCGTGGTGCCGGTGCTCGCTGGAGTGGGCCCGCTGGATCCCCAGAGCCTCCAGCCCAACCCTGAGGAGGTGAGTAGGGGCAAGGATGCCGGGGAACTGGGTTGTACCCATGGGGGGAAGCTGCCATGGTCAGTCCTCTGTCCACCCTCCCGCTGCTCCTGTCATAGGTGGAGGAAGTGTTTGCACTGCCCCTGGCCCACCTGCTGCAGGCGCAGAACCAAGGCTACACCCACTTCTGCAAGGGTGGCCACTTCCGCTACACAATGCCTGTCTTCCTGCACGGGCCACACCGCTTCTGGGGCCTCACCGCTATCATCACCGAGTTCACCCTGCAGGTTTTAGTACCTGGCGCCTACCAGCCCCGCCTGGATATCCCTGGGGCGTGGAGGCTCCGGGGCTGAAGACTGGCCCCAGGCAGCCCCTGCCCTCACCCTGCCAGGCCAGCGCCACCTCAGGACTGAATAAAGAGCCTTTACCAACTCTTGGGCAACTGCATCTTCTGTGCTAGGGCCCTGACCTCGAGCAGACCCCATGGGACAGCTGGTCTCCTGGCTGGGGCACCCCTGTCCAAGCACACTGTCACCCACAGCAGTGGGCACTTACCCTGCACCAGGTACTCGGCATCATTCCACCCTCACCTCAGCCCTGTGAGTGGGGCCAGCACTGTCCCTCGCTGGTGAGCTGGGCTCAGAGAGGACAGACAGCTTGACCGAGCTGGGATTTGAACCGGGCCCTCTCTGACTAGAGCCCAGACCCTTAGCCACTGTAGGTTCCTTCCTCCGTGCCTGGCTGACCACGTGCTGGGCCGCAGGAATCTGGAGAGGAGCCCTGCACGTGACTAATGAGCACCCACCATACACTAGCTGCTGTGCTGGGGTCACGTCTGCGGACCAGCCAGATGTCCTGGCCTCTGGGGGAGCTGGGGCGGCGGGGGCTCAGACTAGGGGAGACCTTAGACCAGATAATCATGTGGTTGCACATTAAACAATCACATATAAATAATAGTGGAATTATACAGGGTTCTGTGTAAGAGTTCAGGGGGGGCGGGGACAGTTGGACTTTGGCATGTGGACCGGGCAGGTTTAGCCAGGATAAGTGATAGAAAGCTTCACCCACTAGCTGATGTTGCCATAAGAGGAATGGTGATTATGGCAGGCATGGCTGCATCCAGGGGCGCTCTCTCTGGCTGTGCTTTCCACTGTGTTGGCCTCATTCCCAGGAGCAGTCTCTACTCCACAGAGAGAGACGAGGAGAGGGCAACAGCTCTAGGGGGCACCAGTGTTCCATCCACAGAAAAGAGAGTTGCTTGGCCAGTGTGACCCAGAATTGCACGGCACTGGCCTGTGACCCAGCAGGCCTTCCCTGAGCCTGTCGCGTGTCCTGCTGGATTTGGAATTCATTGATTGGCAGGGTCTGGGGCACAACCCTGGGGAGGAGGATGAACCCCCTAGGCTGGGAATAGGGAAGGGGGTGGCCTCCAAAGGACCACTGACTGGGAAACGGGAATGCTGAGCAGGTGAAAGCCAGCCAAGTTCCCCTTCAGAGAGTGACCTTGAAACCAAAGGCAGGAGTTAGCCAGGTCAAAGGGCGGAGTAGGACAGTTAGGGCAGCAGCTGCACATGCACAAAGCTTGGGGTGTTCATGGAAACCATGAAGAGTAATGTGGAGATGAGGGGGTGCCTAGGGGTGTGCCTCAGTGATGGGTTAGGCTTTTATTCTAAGCCCATAAAAGGAGAGAAAGGAGTTGATGTGATTCCATCCATGTTTCAAAAAGCTTGGAGCTGCAAGGGACCAGACTGCAGATGCCCCCTTCCCCAAGTGCCCCTCCTCCCCCTGGAGCAGGTCCCATGATGGTGGTAAAAATAACTGAGGGCATGTGAACAGGGGGAGGGGCTGACAAGGGCGGAGCGAGGCTGATGCCCCTCCCCCCATGCTAAGTAAGGGACCCCTGGAGTTGAGGGCAGGGAAGTGCCCTCCCCTGAGCCCTGGAGGTGGGCTCTGAGCTCCGCCTCCCTCTCCCTCGCGGGTACCAGGAGGCTCTGGTCACACAGATGAGTCACCTCAGGCGCATACCCAGCGCCAGCAGCGAACAGAGCCAGCTGGCGGAGCTCTCAGAGAGGTAAGCCCAGCAGGCGCTGCTAGCACACGGGGTCCCCCTCCAGGCTGAAGCCCCCCACTTCTTCCCCACCCACCCAACCCTGCCCTCTGTCCTCAGGTCCCCGGCTGCCACCCAGGACCCTTCTCAGCACCCTCAGTGATGCCTCTTCACCATGTCTTGGCCCAGTGTGGCCCCCTCATACCCAGTCCAAGGGGGCTTGTCTGAGTCCCCTCCCCTGGCCTGAGCCCCCATGGCAGGCACGGCGGCAGCAGGCTGGTGGCGGCCACAGCGGGTGATCATGCAGGAGCACATGGCCATCGATGTGAACCCGGGACCCATCCAGCCCATCCCCCTCATTTCTGACTACTTCCCGCATTTCTACCCCTTTGCTGAGCCTGCCCGGGGTGCCCCAGGCCCACACCCTGCAGTGTCTCCCGCCAGCTCTGCACCCCAGCACAGCCAGACCCAGAGCCAGAGGGAGACTCAGACGACAGCGGTGAGTGGGGGCATGGGATGAGGACACGCTGGGCCCAGCCCAGCCAGGATGGGGTCTCAGGCATCCTGGGCATCTGACCTGTGAGGGGCAGGGCAGGAGGCATGGTGCCACGGTGGCAGGGTGCCAGAGGAACTGACCTGCATGCCACCTGGCTTAGCTACCCTGGGCACCCTCGAGATCACACTTCTTTTTGATGCGGACAACAGCGCCCTGCACTTCACGGCTCACTGTGCCAAGGTAAGGATGGGCGGGGGTCCCTGAGCCGTGGGCCTGGGCCACAGGCCTGCCCCATATCTGTTGTTTCTTCCCAGGGCCTCAAGCCACCAGCCTCAGGCTCCCTGGACACCTATGTCAAAGCCAATCTGCTGCCAGGGGCCAGCAAGGTGAGGGCAAGACCCAGGCTCCTGCTGCTGCCCCTCAGCCACACACCCACCCGTCCTGGCCGGATCCTCCCGAAAGGCCTGGGCATCAGGCCTGGAGCTCCCATTGCAGGCTGCACAACTGGGGGTTCTACTGGGGAGGTGGCCAGGGTGGGGCCCTGGGGCTGAGGAGGCCCTGACCCCCCCTGCCTGGCCCTCAGGCCAGCCAGCTGAGGACACGCACAGTTCGGGGCACAAGAGGGCCTGTCTGGGAAGAGACGCTCACTTACCACGGCTTCACCCACCAGGATGCTGGGCACAAGACCCTGCGGTGAGGCTTGAGGCTGGGCCACGAGGGAACGGGGTGGAGTGGGGCTTGCCTGCCCAGGTCTGACTGGGGTGGCTACCAGGTTGTGTGTGTGTGAGGACCCATGGCTGCGGCCACGGTGGTGGCAAGTGCCTCCCCTGGGGGAGCTGCAGGTGCCCCTGAGGAAGTTGGTGCCCAACCGAGCCAGGAGCTTCAGTGTGTGCCTGGAGAAGCGGAGGCTGGTGAGTCGGGTGGCGCACGAGGTGGGGCTTTGGGGTCCTGCAATCTTGTGATGGGGGAGCTGAAGGGGGGGGCAGGGAGGGAAACTTGGGTAGTGTCCGGCCAAGGTGACCAGGCTCTCTGCCCTTTCAGACCAAGAGGCCGGAGCACCTGGACACATCCCGGGGCATGTCCCTGTATGAGGTGCGTGGGACAGGAGCTGAGCAGGAGGTGAAGGGGACAGGCCTGGGGTACTCGGGCATCGGGCAGATGGGGAGGTGGGCCTGGAGACACTGAGGCCAACCCCCCTATGTTCTGCAAGTACTTGGAGCCCTGGGGGGCAGCCAGGCCAGAGGATGTGTGCGGCACTGGGATACACACAGCCCACAGAGGCAGAGACCCAGGCCACCTGGAGGCAGGTGCTGAAACTGATGGGGTTTGTCTGTGGCCAGAGCAGCTGGGAGGGCAGGAGAGAATGGACAGGTGGGGCTCACTGTCTGCTCCCAGGGATCAATGTGGATGCCACTCCTGGGGCTGGTAGCCTGCCGGAAGCTGGTCTACCCTTGCTGCTTGACACAGTCGCTGCAGGGAAGAAACATCTGCACAGCTTATGTTTCAAGGCACCTGGCGTATATGGCATATGTTTGCTCCCCCTCTTAAGGCTGTGTTTTAAACAGGAATACCTCCCTGAGAAAGGCTGTTTCCCCAGGTGAGGATTTTTCCCTGGAGTTAGAGAGGGAATAAAACCCCTTAACTAAGTGCCAGGCGGGTAGTTAATCACTTTAACTACGAACAATCACGCTTAAGCTACATAATCTTTACTCCCTGGAATGGAGATAAGAAACGCCCTAACCTTTGGAATAGAAATTGATAGGATTAAAATCAACTGGTATAAATACAGATGTAACAAGAC